TAAGTTGCATATTGTCGCAAATCTATTCAAGTCTTTGGGTAAAATTTGATCAATACATGGTTCCGTAGTTATTCCGGTTTCCGTTGGGGTCACTCTAGGTCGGTACACTGAAACCTCCGTTTACGAAGTCTTTTTTTACGCAGTATTCAATTTACGTCCCTCTTTTTACGAAGTAAATCCCAAATAACGAGTTTTCTTTTTACGAAGTAAATTCCAAATAACGAGTTTTTTTTTTGTGATTTTGGGAAACTGGGATATACTGTGAAATACCTCACAATATGGGTATTGTTGGAATCGGAGTGACGTGTAGGGACCGGAAATCGATGTCTGACGCCATTTTAAAATCCAAGATGGCGGCTTCCGGTTACAGGAAAACTTGGACATTCTGCCAAATACCCCCACAATATGGGTATTTTTGGAATCGGAGTGACGTGTAGGGACCGGAAATCAATGTCTGATGCCATTTTGAAATCCAAGATGGCGACTTCCGGTTACAGAAAAACTTGGAAATTCTGCCAAATACCCCCACAATATGGATATTTTTGGAATCGGAGTGATGTGTAGGGACCGGAAATCAATGTCTGACGCCATTTTGAAATCCTAGATGCAACTTCCGGTTACATAAAAACATGGAAATTCTGCCAAATACCCCACAATATGAGTATTTTTGAAATCGGAGTGACGTTTAGGGACCGAAAATCGATGTCTGATACCATTTTTAAATCCAAGATGGCGACTTCCGGTTACAGGAAAACTTGGACATTCTGCCAAATACCCCACAATATGGGTATTTTTGGAATCGGAGTGACGTGTAGGGACCGGAAATCAATGTCTGATGCCATTTTGAAATCCAAGATGGCGACTTCCGGTTACAGAAAAACTTGGAAATTCTGCCAAATACCCCCACAATATGGGTATTTTTGGAATCGGAGTGATGTGTAGGGACCGGAAATCAATGTCTGACGCCATTTTGAAATCCTAGATGCAACTTCCGGTTACATAAAAACATGGAAATTCTGCCAAATACCCCACAATATGAGTATTTTTGAAATCGGAGTGACGTTTAGGGACCGAAAATCGATGTCTGATACCATTTTTAAATCCAAGATGGCGACTTCCGGTTACAGAAAAACTAGGAAATTCTGCCAAATACCCCCACAATATGGGTATTTTTGGAATCGTAGTGATGTGTAGGGACCGGAAATCAATGTCTGACGCCATTTTTAAATCCTAGATGGCAACTTCCGGTTACATAAAACATGGAAATTCTGCCAAATACCAAACAATATGGGTATTTTTGAAATCGAAGTGACGTTCAGGGACCGGAAATCGATGTCTGACGCCATTTTGAAATCCAATATGGCGGCTTCCGGTAACAGAAAAGCTTGGAAATTCTGTCATACACCCCACAATATGGGTATTTTTGGAAATGGAGTGACGTATAAGAACCGGAAATCGATGTCTGAAGTCATTTCGAAATCCAAGATGGCGGCTTCCGGTTACAGAAAAATTGGCAAATACCACCACGTCACCCCGATTCTTAAGATACCCATATTGTAGGTTATGTAATTTTACTTTTATGTTTTTATGTAACCGGAAAGTGCGATATTGATCAAAATTGTGTCAGACATGGGTTTTCAGTCCTAATAGGTCACCCCGATTCCAAACAACCCATATTGTTGAGTATTTGACAGTATTTCCCAGTGTTTCTGTAACCGGATGTCACCATCTTGGATTTCGAAATGGCGTCAGACATGGGTTCTCGGTTCTCACAGTTCACCCCGATTCCAAATATATCCATATTGTTGTGTATTTTACGGTATTTTTCTGTTTTCCTGTAACCGGAAGCCGCGATGTTGGGTTTCAAAATGGCGTCAGACATCGATTTATGGTCCCTACACGTCACCCCGATTCCAAAAATACCCATATTGTGGGGTATTTGACAGAATTTACATGTTTTCCTGTAACCGGAAGTCGCCATCTTGGATTTTAAAATGGCGTCAGACATCGATTTCCGGTCCCTACACGTCACTCCGATTCCAAAAATACCCATATTGTGTGGTATATGACAAAATTTTGAAGTTTTTCTGTAACCGGAAGCCGCCATCTTGGATTTCAAAATGGCGTCAGACATCGATTTCCGGTCCATACACGTCACCCTGATTCCAAAAATACCCATATTGTGGGGTATTTGACAATATTTTCAAAAACCTCTTTTTACGAAGTAAATCCCGAATAACGAGTTTTCTTTTTACGAAGTAAATCCCAAATAACGAGGTTTTTTTACGCACTAATTCGATTTACGAGCCCCCGTTTTGGTTCGTAAATGGAGGTTCCAGTGTATTAGGCTTTACTGTTCTGTAATAATCATGCACTCGGTGAACATAATATTTTCGCACTCAAGTGATGTAATTGGACCATTCACTGCTATACCGATGATCCATGATCACATTGGGCATCCCGGAAAAAAATCTGGTGCCCCCGGGGATGTGGCCAATTCTCAACATGAACCAAAACCCGTCGTGTGACATATCAAACTTCATGATTTTACAAAACTTGGCTGATAATGGCCTTATTGATAGTCCACGGTCACACCAGCACTTCGAGGCATGTTCTTGTGCCCCCGGAGAAGCGGTCGCTTTCGACAAGATCAAAAAACTGTTGTGCAACATATCAAACTTCATGATTTTACAAAACTTGGCCTTATTGAGTGTGCCTTATTGAGTGCTCATGGTCACATTGGCCCTCCCGGAAATGTTCCGGTGCCCCCCCGGGAAGAGGCCAATTATCATCCAATATTAAAACCCATCGTCCGACATCCGATTCGATTTGACTTCATTCGAGTTGTTCGAGTTGCCATTTAATCATGAATTGTGGTGCAAGTTCTGAATATGAGAGTATCATCGATATTTATACGGTTCATGTTGGAAATTGGCCATTTTTCCGGGGGCATCGGAACATTTCTAGGGGCACTGGAACATGCCTGGGAGACCCAGTATGACCGTGGACTCTCACAAAGGCAATGACTGGCCAAGTTCTGCAAAATCATGAAGTTTGATGTGTCTTCTTCTTCTTCTTCTTCTTCTTCTTCTTCTTTTCTTTATCGTCGGTCTCTGTTCCGCAACCTAGTGCCAATTACCGACGGACATTGATTGCCATCCATTGACGGCAATCGAATGTGCAGGAAGGCAGCTTCCACACCTGCGTAGGATATCGCACCCATTCAACACACATGGGCCGGGACCAACGGCTTTACTTCCCTTCCGAAGGAAGACGTGACCAGAGATTTTTATGCCTTAGAAAAATCCCACCGGACCCCATCGGGATTGAACCCAGACCCACGCTTACCACTACACCACCGGCGCCGCCTTGATGTCTCTTGTTGAGTATTGTCTACGTCTCTGAGGGCACCAGAACATTTACGGGATGGCCAATATGACCGTGACATCTCAATAAATCCATTAACCGCCAATAATGAAGTTTGATATGTCGCAGGACGGAGGACGGGTTTGGTTCTTGAGGAGAGAATTGAAATGCTCAGATGTAAGTATACGTATCATTTTGCTAATCCACATGCATTTAATGTTCAAGAATGTCAGTATTCGGAACGGTCAGCGCTACTGGATCATCCCGAACGTCGTGGTCGACCAATTTTACTAACGAGGCCCGAAGATAAGTTTCCTTCCAGATGCACTTGCACGTTGAGACTATTGTAGTTTTCCTATTATTTCCCAGGCCCCATAGCAACCTACGGATACGTTTTCCAAGAGTCAGAGCAATCGCTCCTGTAATGACATCGTTGACAACTCCTGCCTACGAAGCCAGCATCAATCTGCTGTGTAAAAACATCTTTGCCCTTCAATGGGCTCTACCTCGCCATCATCATTCGTCTCTCAAGGACCCACCAGCTCAGTTTAAATCATAACTTGTGTATAATATAATCATAAATAAATGGTAAAATGACTTGATGTTGTGCGCCAGATTTTCATTCGAAAATCGATCATAAAATTTCAATTTAATAAATAGTTGAAAATAATACGATTGTCCTATGATTTTATGGTTGATTTAGGTCTACTTTGGTTTTCGCAAATCGATCTGAACTCATTCATTATATGGATGATTGTCATTTGATTTGTTCATATTCCAACAGATGATAAATCGAATGAAGATCCTCTCAAAATTATCTGATAATAGTTATAGGGCTTGAGCGAGGCAATAATCATTCGATGCCAGGATGATGTTTTGGTTCAGTGTAGAGGCGTGCTAGCGGCGCGCAAGGGGCTTCATTATCTTTAACACATTTAAAACAAAACCTTAACGGAATTCATAAGGAATTCCGAGATGATGGTTTGAGAATGCTATGCCGAATTTCAATTGAATTTTCTGATAAAATTCTGTAAATTCTTAAACAGTTCTGTTTAGTTTTCGAATACAATCCTGAAATGAACCCCAAGAAGATTCATTGGAAGCAGAACAATGATATATTTCCAAACGGTAACTGATTACAACACCGAAAAAAAAAAAAACGTTTCGATATCTAAAATCGAAAAAAAAGGTCCTTAAGAAATGTTAGGTGTAAACACATTTTTTCATGGCACAAAGTTGATTAGATTCCATTTTTTTTGCATGATAAGATACTAATAATATGTTTACAAATAAATTTTCTCAGAAATCTGTGGAAACAACAGATTTTCTTGAATTTGGAAAACGCATGTTTCCAATATTTTTAGAAAAATCAAAACCGATCCAGAAAAGGAAAGCAATGCCTCAGTGTGTGCACCTTTCGCTATTATCAGTGAATTAAGTAAACTAGTATTGACAAATAGATCGTTACTCACCATTGAAAAAAAAAATCAATAAGATAGCGATAACATTCAAATTCAAATACTTGAATGGTATGACTAATATGCAGAGCAAACATGAGATTGCTCCTGCCACTGATAATATCCACGACTATTTCGCTACTCAATGCCCAACGCAATTGCTCAATAGCGATTGTACATCCGGTCGTAGTAAATCACTTTTTTAAAATTAAGATGTCTTTCATTCATCTGTCGCTTGTCATTTACGCACTTGTGTACGGTAAGTGTAAATTGTTATTGTTTCGGATTGTTGAACTTTAAACGTGAATCTTAACCTACTAGTCAATATGGAACCGATCGATGTCAGCACGTCAACGGAAGCAGTTCAGTGCAACATGTGCGTGGATCGTTTCAATTGGACCAACTGTGATGATTCGGCTAAACCTAGGGAATGTTCGGATAAACTCGTAGTGGACACCCATAGCTTCCTGGCTCAGTATAACTTCAATTTGAATGAAAGTCCAACCACGGCTGAGCGCCAATTCCGATGTTTTCGACTGGAGCTGCAAATAGACGTCGCATCGGTCCAAGTCTTCATCCGGGGATGTACCTATGATGATTCCTTCTTTTGCGATGGTTGGACAGAAAACGGTGCTAAGGCCACTAACTGTGCCGTTTGTTCTACTGATATGTGTGAACGGAACACTACGGGTGATGTTTCTCCGACGACAACAACTACGAACCTGCCATCCGAAACGACAACGACCACCGCAGTGAGTACAATTGAGATGAGTTCAACGACCCAAAGCGCTTCGACTGCACAAAGTAGCCCGGTGACGACAACAGTGTCAACCGAAGAACCTTGTATTGTGGATTGGACGACAACAACAACGGCAAAAGGACAATCTACGACGGAGGTAGTCGAAAAAGTTACAACGACGACAACGATAACAGCAACGCCGCCGTCTCAAGAGAATGTAACCGAATCGGATGCGCCGACAATTTCCCAGAGCCAGAGAGATCAGACGTCTTATTCAACGGATTCTACTAACAATATATCATCCTCAAGCGAGATGAATGTCACACCAGCGCCTAATATTTTAACGGTAGGGAGCGGAGTCGCAGGAAAGTATTTTTCTATGAATACGATTGTAGTCGTGCTTCTAGTATCGATTGCAAGCATTTTCATTGTGAAATTATAAATGGATTTCAAGCTTAATCAAATAGAGGTTTTTTTTCAATTGAGACCAATAAAAATTCAATTATTTCTTACGTGTAGAGTGTATTCTTCCACAAAGCGGAGTACCGAGTATTTCAACAATCCGTATGACCTCCGGATGACATTAAAATGGTAGTTTGTCATTGTTACAGTGGTAAAGAATGTTTGAGCCTGAAATTAAAACTTTAATACAAACTGGTTGTTGTTGCTTATTTTCAATTAAATAAAAAAATCTAACGTTCTTATTTGCAGAAATAGAGGTATACATTCTTCAGAAAAACAGCTTAGTCATTTTCAACGTCCAGAATAAATGCAGCGCCAACATCGCGTCTGACCATCACCTTCTAATCGGTGAGATCCGGCTACGCATTGCACGGATGCAGCGGCGGGAGGAGAGACTCGGACGGCGATTCAAGATGTTTATTAGAAGATCCAGCTGTGAAAAGATTGTTCGTTGAAGAACTTGAGACCCGAGCAGCGGATGTTCCGGAAGGAGGCATGGTAGAAGAACAGTGGACGGTCATCAAGACAATAGTGAGAACAGTAGAGCGGGCTAGAACCAAAACCAAGAACGAAGCCCGTCAACGGTATTTGGCTCAGAGAAGTAAGGCAAACATTTTTGCAGACGGGACAATCGAGCGTGGGTGGACTTCCTGGCTGAGTTATATCTCAGGACGCCTGAGTGGAGCACAGATGAATCCAAAGATGCCAGTGAAAGACGTGACTGCTCATGCTGATAGAACTAATGCCGCACTTACATTATGCTGGATATTTTTAGTGCAGCTCTAGTAAACTAGCGCTATAGCAGTAAAGTCGGTTAACAAAATGAAAGCAAAGAGTTTGCTGTTCCTATCATAATGAAAACTCATTTTGATTTTAATGGTCTAGAAATAAGTCTGATTACATATTGTGCTTTCAGTTTCTTTCAGGTGTTTCAGCAACTTAACTTGAAGTTCTGCTGTTAACGTCTTGTTGAAAATAGAACTAACGAATATTGTCTAATTGTTTTGTTGAACACATTTCAGGACGTTCGTGATCAGTCTGGGGTGTGATTTGAACTCAAGTTTTTCAACTCGAGAAGCATGGATGCTACCCGAGCAAAGCTGAAGATCAAATTGAAATCAGTGTGGCAGTGAAAACAGTGCTGTCATGATAAATTTAGAAATGGTTACTCACTGGTTTTGCTTGTGTGCTCCCCGCTCATCTCAAATCCATGCGTCCCTTTAAGAAGCGTCCTTAATCGTAATTAAGAGAAGTACACACTTAGAAATTATCGCCGATTTCGGTAATTTTTACCGAAATCTGAACAGCTGAACTTTTCGGTATTAACCTTTTCGCTGGTGGAGAGTAGCTCAGAATTTTCTCACTACGTAGCGCTAGAATACATGTGAAATTCTCGTATGTGATATATCTCGAGATCCTGACCAGATAGAAAGTTACTGTCTTTCACAAAAATTTTCAGGAGGTCAAAGCCTATTGCTTGGTGCTCAATAGTTCAGAATTTGCTCACTACGCGAAGCTAGTATACATGTGAAATACTCATATAAAATATCTCGAGTTCCCAACCAGATAGAAAGGTACTGTCTTCGGCATAGTTGTTCAGGAGGTCAAGGCTTTCTCGCAGGTGGACAGTAGTTCAGAGTTTTCTCACTTAGCGGCGCCACTATACATGTGAAACTCTTGCATATAAAATATCTCTAGATACTGACCAGATAGAAAGTAAATGTACTCGACAAAGTTTTTCAGGAAGTCAAGATCTTTTTGTTGGGTGACAATAGTTCAGAATTTTCTCACTATGCGGCGCTGAAATACGTGCCTTTCTCGCATATTCAATTGCTCGAGATCTTGATCAGCTAGAAAGTTACTGTCTTCGGCAAAGTTGTTAAGGGGTTCATGATTTTTTGGCTGGTAAGCATATTTAAGAATTTTCTCACCACGTGGCGTTAGTATACATGTACACTTCTCGCATATGCTATATCTCGAGATCCTGACCAAATAGAAAGTTACTGTCTTGGGCAAAGTGGTTCAGAAGGTCAAGGTCTTTTGGCTGGTGAACAGTAGTTCAGAATTTTCTCACTGCGCTGCGCTAGTATACACGTGCAATCCTCATATATGCTATAGCTCGAGATCTCGAACAGGTAGAAAATTGCTGTCTTCGGCAAAGTTGTTTAGGAGATCAAAGCATTTTTGCTGGTGAATAGTAAATAGTTCAGAATATTTTCGGTATGCGGCGCTAGTGTGCATGTAAAATATTTGTATATGCTATAGCTTAAAGTCAGGAAGTAACTGTCATCGTCAAAGTTGTACATGCGACAAAGTTCTTCTGGATGGTGAACATGCAAATATTAATTTCAATTTTTTTTTCAAGTCAATTCTGAGAAAATCAATCATGATTATTCAGAGTAAATTTTGAAAAATAGTTTAACTTTGGGTGTTTTTTAGGGGGTGTCCTTAAACTTATGATCGGGAGTGTTCTGTTTTATAAATTTCTCCATTCAACTGAGCAAGTCTCGATGCACACGTAAATACACGGATTTTTTTTTATTCTAGATTCCTCGATAAGACAATTCGAAACTAGCCTAAAATGAAAGGGAGACTCTAAACATTCATTTGGTGGAAGTTTCAGCGATATCGATCTTTTAAGATAATGTTTTCCATCTGAGATACGTGTTACCACTAATTTATCAGAAATATACAAGTGGAAGACTCACACCAATTTATGTATCCACAAATCTGCATGAAAATTTTCATCAGTACAAGAAATCCAGAATACATTTGTCTTATCCCACTTAGGCTGATGTAAATTATATTTTTATTTTATGATATTTGATATGCGAGAATTGCCCGCCAAATTTTGAGAAATTTCTGAACTACTGTTCATCAGCCAAAAGATCTTTATCTCCTTAAAAGCTTTGCCAAATACAGTAAATTTCTAGCTGTTCAGGATCTCGAGATATTATATATGCGAAGATTTCACGTATATCCTAGTGAGAAAATTCTGTACTGTTGACCAACGATAAAGTTTTGATCTCCTGAACAAATTTGCCGATGCATATAAGTATATACTGCACGTGTAAATAAGCGCAGTGATGTGAAAAAATAAATCTGTCGACCATCCAAAAGGCCTTGGCTCCCTGAACAACTTTGCCCAAGACAGTAATATTCTATTTGGTCAGAATCTCGTGATAATTTACATGTGAAAATTTCACGTGTATACTAGCACCGCTTAGGAAATTCTCAACTATTGTACACCAAGCAATACGCTTTAACCTCCTGAACAACTTTGTCGAAGACAGTAACTTACTATCTGATCAGGATCTCGAAACAAACCACATGCGAGAATTTCACGTGTATTCTAGAGCTACGTAATGAAAAAAATGTGAACTACTGTCCACTAGCAAAATCTATCTTATCAGAATCTCGGGATATTTTACATGCGAGAATTTTGCGTGCAAACTAATGCCACGTAGTGTGAAAATTCTGAACTATTGTGCACCAAGCAATAGGCATTGACCTCATGAACAACTTTTTCGAAGACAATAATTTTCTACCTGTTCAGAATCTCGAGCTACTGTCCACCAGCTAAAAATTCTTGACCCCCTGAACAAGTTTGCCGAAAACAGTAACTTTTCATCTGTTAAAGATCTCGAGCTATTGTATATGCGAGAATTGCATGTGTATACTAGCACCGAGTAGTGAGAAAATTCTGAACAACTGTCCACCAACGAAAAGATCTTGACTTCCTGAACAACTTTGCCAAAGACATTTACTCTCTATCTGGTCAGGATCTAATGATGTATCACATGCGAGAACTTAACATGTATACGAGCACTACCTAGTGAGAAGATTCTGAACTACTGTTCACCAGCAAAAAGGCTATGATCTCTTGAACAGCTTTGCCTAAGACAGTAACTTTCTATCTGGTCAGGATCTCGAGATATTTTAAATGAGAATTTCACGTGTATACTAGCGCCGCATAGTCAGAAAATTCTGAACTATGGTCACCCAACAAAAAGATCTTGACTTCCTGAAAAACTTTGTCGAATACATTTACTTTCAATCTGGTCAGGATCTAGCTATATTTTATATGCAAGAGTTTCACATGTATAGTAGCGCCGCAAAGTGAGAAAACTCTGAACTACAGTCCACCTGCGAAAAAGCCTTGACCTCCTGAACAACTGAGCCGAAGACAGTACCTTTCTATCTGGTTGGGAACTCGAGATATTTTATATGATTATTTCACATGTATACTAGCTTCGCGTAGTGAGCAAATTCTGAACTATTGAGCACCAAGCAATAGGCTTTGACCTCCTGAAAAACTTTGTGAAAGACAGTAACTTTCTATCTGGTCAGGATCTCGAGATATATCTCATACGAGAATTTCACATGTACTCTAGCGCTACGTAGTGAGAAAATTCTGAACTACTATCCACCAGCGAAAAGGTTATAGCCTCTAGAACAACTTTGCTGAAGACAGTAACTTTCTATCTGGTCAGGATCTCGAGATTTTTCATGTTGTAACCAATTAAGTCAAATCCCACGTAAATAGGACGGACACCGTTTACGCGGTTTCCATTCACATATTCTCTATTATCCGCATTTTTTGGGGGTTAACTGTGATAAAAAAATTAGCTTGTTTGGATAAAAACAAGTTTTTTAAGGAATACCCGTTGGTTTCATATCGATTGGTAGCTCGGCTGCAAAATGGCAATGCATAACTCACACTGTTGTACAAAGTACAACGCGCGAGTACTCGTGTTACAAAAGTTGGCGCGAGTAACGGAGGGTTTTTTTTTTTTTTTAATCCTCTTTGTCTTTATTAAAATTAATTATTCATAGTCATGTAGAAATCTAAATTTTGTACATTAAGGTTTTCGATTGGAGTGTCACTTACAAATATAATGTATCTGACAAATAATTTTAAGGTTCTGCTTAAGGTACGAGCATTTACTCCTCGCAGCTCCGGAAATTGTAGTGTTTTGAATAGTTGATTTCTCCTTATTCCTATGGATTCAATTTG